CTGAGAGAGAGTGACTGGCCCAAAGTCACCCAGCCAGGTTTTATGCCTAAGGGAGGCCAAAAACTCACAATCTTTTGGTTTCTAGGTCAGTATCTTTACCACAACACCAAACTGGCTCTCTCATTGGTTTCCATCTCTGAACTAGTAATTTGGAACTGTTTTCCTGTAAGTGTCAACAGTAATAAAGCAGAAAGTGTAAAACTTTAAAGTCATACCTAGGTTGCTTTAACGTCCCAGTTTGCTTCATGGAGCCAAATCACACAAGATCAGCAGGGAATTGCGTGCTTCCTCTTCAGAATATGCAAGTTTGCCATTCTACATAAGGCTAAAAATGAAGTTTATTCAAATTCTTCTAAGTAAACTAAATCTAACTGACCAACTTCGGTAGCACCAGCATCTACATTTTACTAAATAATGACTAAACTATACTGACCATGAGATGAGGGAATACAGAAGTGTTTATTGTGATACAAAATTTTGAACTGAAGTTTTAAAATTCAAAATAAGATACTTTTATAATTATTTTTACCAATATTAAAAACTCAGGCAAAAGACCTAATGAAACTAGTGTTCACAACAAATGAAGGGCATTGGAAATATCTCTTAGTGGAGCATTTCCCACTCTACAGATATACTGGAGTTGGCACTTAATGGAATAGAACATTACTAAGTGATCATTAGCCTTATATCCACAATCTCCATCCTGGGTGCTTGCAGTGTCTCCTTCACAATAAAACATAGTATTATGCAAGGAATAGAGGCATAAGGGTCTGGGGAAAATGAAGAGAATTAGCTGCAACATTTACCTTAATTAGCCTTCACCCTACATCTTATTTATTAAAACCAGAATTCTTTCTTCACCTTCGTCATGGATATCCTGCACAACTAGTTCCACATTTCAGGCTTAAGTTTCTTAAATTGTAATCCTCCCACAGTCTCTTCAAAAACAAGAGATTTTTAAAAGCCATTTGTTATATGGGACAAAAGTTTGCAAAAATTAAATATCATTCTTGAGGTTTTGGCTGTACAAGCACTTCATATTATGAAGAAAACATTGTGGATTTTTAGTATAACCTACATGCACTATTTCTAAAAGCAAAAGCAAAACTAGATTTGCAAGTAGCCAATTGCCCAATTGCTCATGGAGACTATGAATCTTTCCTAAACATAAGACAAATATTTTTTTGTACATTTGAGAAGATGAACCAGCAATTACAAATATATGTTTAGGTACATGGAGAGGGTAGCAGAATGTTTGTCCATCAGTAATTTAAGGAAATTTATAGGGAAAAATAATATATTAATGCCAAGATTTTCTGCAATCTTAATTGTTAGTTATAACAGGACTTAGAAGAGAATTACAGTATTTCAAATTGTAATATGATAGCACCTGTCAACTCTAAAATTCTTTTACATAGATGGGCCCCATAGGTTTGAATATTTTTCTATTACCAGTATATTTTATAATCATATATAAGTAAAATGACAGTAGAAACATGATCAGTGTTAGCAATGGGAAGTTATTGGAAGTTTATAAATTCACTCATGTAAAATAAAATAAAACTCTTGAGAACTTGTATTTCTAACGTGAATTAGAAAAAAGAGGATATTATCTCAGAGACAGTATAAATAATGCTTTATTTGGAGAGAAAGAGAACATGCAAGATGCATTTCCAAAGACTCAATAAGATAAAGTCCAGATATTGAAAAGAGGATACATCTGCTATCCAGGCAAGAGAACAGAAGTATTTTCCTTTGCTTCTTTTTTACTATTCTAGCAGTCATAAATCTTGACTGCACTTCCATTTATGGATGTCTGTCTTAATCTAAAGAGCGGAAACTCATATTTGTATTATTCAACAAAATATAGAGCATAATCCCCCAAATACAGAGAAATAATAATAATAATAGTAATAGTAAAAAAAACATTTGGAGCACCTCTTGAACGCCATCAGCATTGACAAAATCACCGTCAGTCAATTCCAAAAGGCAGCTTTACTTGGAACAGCTTATATCCTGTCACAATACCTATAACACTATCAAACAACATCTGCCTAACCCAGGTCCTCGGGAAGAACTCGATAGGTAGATAAAAATGCCAAATCCAGTCTAAACATCTGGCTGACTGTGCGACCAACCATAATAATAATAACCTGGAGACAGCAGAAGAGAAAGAACTGGAGAAAATCACAAAATATAAAGACCTGCAAATAGAAGAAGAACGACTGTGGCAAAAGAAAGCA